ATGCCCTCTCTCTCTCTCTCTCTCTCTCTCTCTCTCTCCCCCTCCCCTCATCGAAACGAGAATGAATCTTCTGTGTTATCGCAGAATATTCATTCTCGTTTCGACGAGGAGAGAGAGAGAGAGAGACGTTGAAGTGAGAATGAATCTTCCACGTTATCACGGAAGATTCATTCTCATTTCAATGTACACACACACAGAGAGAGAGAGAGAGAGAGAGAGGGCGTCAGCCAGTGTCTGACACCCAGTTTGGTGCACCAAACTCGGCGTCAGACACTGGCTGACGCCCTCTCTCTCTCTCTCTCTCTCTCTCTCTCTCTCTCTCACGAGAATGAATCTTCCTCTTTGGAAAGGTCTGATTTCGTGTTTTTTTTTGTTTTTTTTTTTGCAGAATGTTTTATGTTGTTTTTTTTTTTTCCTTTTTTCTTTTTTCGTTGTGTCCTACAGGTTGTCCGAGGCTCGGCAATAAAGTCCGAGGCTCGGGAATGACCGGGCCACCGGTAGCCTGAACAACGGGTAGGTACTGGTGGTTTACCGAAAAATAGCAATCAAAAACAAAAAAACGAACAAAAAAAAGGGGGAAATAGGAAGTTGGACAGCTGCCCTCCTCATCAGGGAAATAGCAAGTGGGACTGGTACCCTAATCACGGAAACAGCACTGTGGGACTGATTGCCTTAGCAATAGCAGGCGGGACTGCTTCCTTTCCCAATAGCAAGTGGGACTGACTGCCTTGGCAATAGGAAGTGGGACTGCTTCCCTTCGCAATAGCAAGTGGGACTGCTTCCCTTCGCAATAGCAAGTGGGACTGCTTCCCTTCCCAATAGCAAGTGGGACTGACTGCCTTAGCAATAGGAAGTGGGCCTGCTTCCCTTAGCAATAGCAAGTGGGACTGCTTCCCTTAGCAATAGCAAGTGGGACTGGGACTAGGACTGGGACTGACTGCCTCCTCAAGTGGGACTGATTGCCTTAACAATAGCAAGTGGGACTGATTGCCTTAGCAATAGGAAATGCGACCGATCGCCTTAGCAATAGCAAGTGGGACTGCTTCCCTTAGCAATAGCAAGTGGGACTAAGACTGGTACTGGGACTGACTGCCTCACCAGGGAAATAACAATAGCAAGTGGGACTGATGCCCTCAGCAGCGAAATAGCAATGGCAAGTGGGAACCTCATCAGGCAACAGCTACAGCAGGTGGGACCTCATCCAGGGAAGAAATAGCTACCAAGGGGGACTCAAGGAGGGGTAAGGTTGTGGGGGGGGAGCTCTTATCCAGGGCGATTTCTGAGGGGGGGAAGAGGGAGAGAAGGAAGACAGTCGGAATTGAGAAGGAAGGGGGGGGGGG